GGTTTTACAAATGTTTTTAAAAACTGAGAAATCTTAAAAACTTAATGGATTGCATTCTAGATAAGCCGGTTTGCCAAAAACCTAATGCGCCATGACCTAAACTGACGCGAACAACCACCAAAGAAATAAATATTTCTTCTGAGAATGGTTAGAACACCGATGCTTGAGCGAAGTGCAGTGCTTTTACGACCACGTCAAAATTGCGAGTCTAGAACATACATATACGACTAAGAAACACTACAGACAGATCAAGTTAGCAGACAGATTAGACCGTTTTAGCACACCAACGCTGAGAAGGCATTGGCCATTTCTGCATGGTGGTTGATTTTGTTGTTCCCACAAAAAGTCTATGGATATACGCCCGGTTCAAAACAGGATACAAATCTAACTCGCGTGCTTCTTGAAGGAAGCATACAGCTAAACCACTCTAATATCATACTGCCCTTCCCCTTTGATGGTATAGAAGAGGAAGGAATGCTCATTCTTAATTTGTTCATTGTTTCTTAATCTAACAAAGTTTAGAAAAATACGTTCAAATATCATGCATCTTCTACTTAATTATACTATTTACTGGCTACATGAAACTAGTACTATCTAAAAAATCAATTTTGCATCATACTCTTGCTGTCAGAATATGCAAACGATAACACGATGCACATCTCTATGATCTAGAACATCAAATCTTCCACATTCTCATAGAGTTTCTTGTCATAATCTTTCAAGTTGATGAACCTCTGTGAAAAATAAGATTGAAGTCACTAAATGTGTCACTTCAGAGTGTTTTAGTACTTCTTAAATTATATTCCAAACTCGCTAAAAATATCAACTTTTTCGAAAATAAGTTTACAAAAAAACTAACGGCAGCAAACTTTGATCGAGAAATGCCTTTGTACTGTGTGTGGCTTTTAGTTTGAAAACAAACAAAAGTATGACTGCATTCACTTATTTTTCAAACAGGTATAGCTTATGTGAAATAATAATTACCATGTCATGATAAGCATATATTTTTTCGATTAACTTGAAAAATCACTCATGTCGTCGGCAAGGGCAGTGCCACTGAAAAAAGGAATCGAGAATTTTGAGGAGAGAGAGCGGATGTTCACAGGCTACCTGGTGCTGGTTCTCCATTTCCTTCAATTCGTCTCTAAGATTTTCAAACGTTGGACGATCATCAGGATCTTCTCGCCAGCAGTCTTGCATAATCTTGTAACTGCAAAATGATACTGATTAAAAGAGATTCCTGCAATCACGCATATGTAATTTTATGGAAAAAGTCAATATGAATAACCAGAGAAGGACTGAACCCATTAGCTATCAAAGCTTTGATAAAAGCTTTTCAATTTGGTTACACCACGGCTACGTAAGCCCCAAATTACTTACAGAGTCTCATCCACATGGCTTGGTTTAGGCATCCTGTAGCCACGATTAAGGATATCTGCCATTTTTCTGACATCCATTAGCGGGTAAGGCGAGCCACCTAGACAGAGGCAAAGAACACCCAGCTAGAGTCAGGCTTCGTGAATTCCTATGCGATAACTGTCACCAAACCTAAATTAACCAGTAGAATACAATTATAGTGGAACCCCGCCTTACGGTCACCTCGTTAGCACGCCCACACACCATCTTATAAGAAGACCCCGTTAATGCGGCCACCCCTTCCATACGGGCAACGGCCACATTCTAAAATCCCAACCTTGATAACCTTTTTCCATCGTTAATATTGTATGTACTGATTGAGGGTTCTTTTCTTTTAACTATATCTGCCTTCCAGAAGCGTCATTAAGAACAATTGGTTAAAAGTGCGATATGACTGGGAGCTGGTCACGTTGTGAGTTCGTAATATACCCGTAGATGGAGAAGAATGCAAATAAAATGAATATATGTAGATCATATATCTGAACTGCAGCGAAAGATAAATCGTGTCTTCATGTGATATATCCGTTAAGACCTCACACAATTTAGACCAATCAAATTTTCATGGCCCGTCGGTGATCGTACTAACGGGGTAATAAACATAACAATCTGTTTACTAAAAAACCCGGTGCCACAATACAACAGTGAAACATACCTATGGTAAAGATCTCGTAAAGTACAATTCCAAAACTCCACCTATGTTTCAAAACCAAAACAATGGTTGTAAATATATACAAAGCTGTGGACTATGATTCGCAAGTCGTCTATTTAAGCAAAAGACCACTCTTTCTATGGGTTTACTGGCGCAATAAACCACGCGGGATGTTGGTAGAACACGAGAAAAGCTTGTGAATCACGAGCCGTTAGGCGAGTGATTGACAAGCTTTTCGAGTGTTCTCCCAACATCCCAAGTGGTTTATTGCGCCGGTAAACCCATAGAAAGTGTGGTCTATCGCTTTTATGAAATAAGTATGGAAAAAGTCTGTCAATGAGAGGAACATTTATTGTATTTTCGTGATCAAGTTGCTTATTCTCATCCAATTCATGAGATGACGCGACAAACCAATCACAGCGACTGGAAGAATGAAAGCACAGTCTCCGCGCCGGACACGAAAGCCGCAGAGCAAAGCGGCGAAAAAATTTCACGCTAAGAAAGTTTTAAGAAAGGAAAGGAAACGATTATCGGTGAAAGGCAAAAAGTATATTAATTAACTCAAAGTATTTTGACGGGGAAAAGCAAGGATTCGTTGGTGGAATCGGTCATCACGAAAGTAAAAGGCTGCACGAAAATTGTGCAAGTAGTCCAAACTTTATATGCTTGGCGAAGTGATTCAACGCTGTGTTTAACGACAACTTTCAAAAGTTCTGCGAATGGAATAAAGGTTAGTTTCAGAAACGCTGCTTCCGAAATTTAGTCAGATTTTATTTACTTATGCTGAAGGGTATGAAGTCTGTGTTTCTCTGTATTTTGCTAAATAAAAACTATTGCTTGAAAGCTAAGCTTATGGAAACCAAATTCGTTTATCGTGTTATGCGTGCATGCATTGGGTTTCAACTCAAAATTTCTGATAGAAATCAATCTTTCCCCTGCTTTTTTGACAACCTAAATTGATCAGTCAAGCCCAGCTAACTTCGTCCTCCACAGACCGTGGAAAGCAGCCGAAAAAAGGGTTTAAAACTTCTTTAATTTTAATCTCAAGCGCAACCGGAGTCGGCGTAAAATTTTTGCCCTGGAAAAAAAGATAAAGCTTTATATGACGACCAACTTCTGGTCCTTTTTTTCCTTGCAAATTTCCATGTATATGATGAATGGAAAGATATTCGTATTATTGATATCTCAGCCAGTGAAAGGCACAACTGTTTATTACATTTGTTATCGCTAGAGTTCCGAGTTCTCTAGTTACCGCGTAGAGCTGCCATGGATCGGGAACCGTGGTTTAGCGGTACAATACAACATAGGTTTGGCAACTCTTTTGACCAATCAGAGCGTGCGTAGTATCTCAGTTGTTTTGTAAAG